AAGAAACGTCGTCACGCTGACAAGATGGGCAGTTAAATCAGTTGCACCAGCTAAGAAGAAACAGCGCTTCTGTTGCTAAGTAGCCTTTTTGCCCCTTGAGAACATTTTGTTGGGAGAGGAACAAACTGCATTTCATTTTATTTTGAAACACAGTCGGGAGAGTGGTGAGCACAGGCAGCAGACAGTTCCCTCCAGACAGAAACCAAGCCAACAAGGAGCCTTGTCAGAGGCCACTGGGTAGAAGGTTGGGCCAGGTTATCTTGGAGAGATGTACTTTTGGGGATACGGGTAGGCTGAAATGGAGAGTGTTCCATCTGGACATCTAGTGCAAACCTCAGACCCAACGTGATGTGATGAGTACAGGAGATGGGCCCTGCCGGGTGGCGGCCAATCAGATCTGGGTGGCTGCAGTAGGTGGAGGGAAAGGCCCACCTGGGGTCTCTACCTGAAGCCTTCTGGGAGCCCGGCGGCTGCTTCTAGGTGGCACGCCTGCCGTTCTCCAACCTGAAACACTTGACCCGGCCCAGAGTCTCCACACCTGTCACCTCCACTCTTGCCCCATGGCCTTCTCCTTGCCGTGCTGCTCACTGTCCTGTGTGCTGGGAGTTCATTGGCCGCCAGCACTACCACCTCCCACCCCCCCCATCTGAGGAGAGAGATTTGGGTCCGTTTTAACCACTGCTGTGTCCCTAGCATATAGCATGCTCCAGGAAATACTGTTGAGTCAACGTGGACTGGAAAGCTCACCTGCCACCAGGAGAAGTGGAGGTTTTTTGTGTTTGAAATGTAGACCATTGGGGTTCACAACTCTTTCACTGTGGCCAGATGAAGACATGCTCACTGGATGTTTTATTTCATCAATGATTTCAAGAGTGGATGTGCCTGGGCTCATTTGAAGAGTTAGGCTAATTTTTTTTGTTGTCTTTTTGTGTGTTTTTTTTTTTTATCTTCACCCGAGGACATTTTTCCATTTTTTGTTCAGATAGAGTGGGAGGGAAAGAGAGGAAGAGAGAGAGAGAGAAAAATTGACGCAAAAGGGACACATAGAGTGGCTGCCACCCACATAACCAACCAGGGCCAAGGACAAACTGCAACTGAGGTACATGCCCTTAGCGGGAACTGAACCCCGGTCTCTCTGGAACACAGGCCGATGCTCTAACCACGGAACAAACCAGCCAGGGTGAGTTAGGCTAATTTTAATACATTTTTTTATCTTTATTGATTTGAAAGAGAAAGGAAGGGAGAGAGAGAGAGAGAGAAACATCAGTGAGAGAGAACATCAATTGGCTGCCTCCTACATGCCCCCCACTAGGGATTTGGCCCACAACCTGGGCATGTGCCCTGACCAGGAATTGAACTGGCGACCTCTTGGTGCATAGATCGATGCTCAACCACTGAGCCACACGGGCTGGGCTAATTTTAATACTTACTTACTTATTTATTTATTTATTGAAAGAAACATTGACTTGTTGCTCCACTTATTTATCCATTCATTGCTAGATTCTTTTTTTTTTTAATCCTCACACGATATTTTTCCATTTTTTTGTACAGATAGAGTGGGAGGGAGAGAGAGGAAGGGAGAGAGAGAGAAACATCGACGTGAAGGGACACATCGAGTGGCTGCCACCCTCACGACCAACCAGGGCCGGGGACAAACTGCAACCGAAGTACATGCCCTTAGCGGGAACCGAATCCCGGTCTCTCCGGACCGCAGGCCGACGCTCTAACCGCTGAGCCAAACTGGCCAGGGCCATTGCTAGATTCTTGTATGTAAACCTACAACGTTGGCATATTGGGATGACACTAACCAACTTTGCTAACCAAACAGGACCTAATAAATTCTTTCATTCTGGCTAAATACCTCAAAGAAATTACCAAAAGGAAATAACTGAAGATTTTTTGTTGTTGCTTTTGTTTTTTTTTAATGTTTGTTTTATATAAAAGTATTAGTTTTTAAAAAGCATGATGCAGTCCGGCTGTGTGGCTCAGTGGATGAGGGTCAACCCATACACCAAGAGGTCGTTGGTTTGATTCCTGGTCAGGACACATGCCCAGGTTGTGAGCCTGATCCCCAGTGGGGGGCATGCAGGAGGCAGCCAGTTCATGTTCTCTCTCACCGATGTTTCTATCCCTCTCGCTTCCGCTTCATCTCTGGAAAATCAGTAAAGGAAAAAAATTTTTTATCCTCACCTGAGGACATTTTTTTGCATTTATCTTCAGATAGAGCAGGAGGGAGAGAAGAAGGAAGTGAGAAAGAAACATCAATGTGAGAAACACACATCAACTGGTTGCCACCCGCACAACCCCAACTGGGGCCAGGGACAAACTGCAACAGGGGTACGTGCCCTTAGCGGGAACCAAACCTGGGACTCTGGTCCATGGGCCAACGCTCTAACCGCTGAGTCAAACTGGCCAGGGCGGAAAAAAATTTTTTAAAAAAGCGTGATGCAGCCCTGGCTGGTTTGATTCAGTTGTTAGAGTGTTGGCCCAAGGACCAAAGAGTTGTGGGTTCCATTCCAGTCAAAGGCATGTACTTTGGTTGCAGTTCGTCCCTGGCCCTGGTTGGAGTCGTGCAGGAGGCAACCAATCAGTGTGTCTTATATCAGTGTTTCTCTCTCACCCTCCCACTCTATCTGAAGATAAATAGAAAAATACCATCGGATGAGGATTTAAAAATTAAAAAGGGTGATGCATGAACTTGTATCTGAGTGAATATTTTGCACATTTTTGTTGGGCTCGTTGCCCAGAATGATTTTTGAGACCCCTTTGGTTTTGTTTTGTTTTGTTTTTATCCTCACCCGAGGACATTCTTCCATTTTTTGCTCAGGTAGAGTGGGAGAGAGAGAGAAACATCGATGTGAAAGGGACACATCGAGTGGCTGCCACCCGCACAACCGACCAGGGCCGGGGACAAACTGCAACCGAGGTACATGCCCTTAGCGGGAACCGAACCCGGGTCTCTCAGGACCGCAGGCCGACGCTCTAACCGCTGAGCCAAACCGACCAGGGCTGAGACCCCTTTGGAAATGGGTTTTTGGGAAGCTGATTTCTTACTCTTACCCAAGAGTTCTCTCTCTAAAATGCCCAGTTCACTCATTGCAGGCACACCTGAGATACTGTGGGGTGTGTTCTAGACAACCTCAGCGACTGAGAGTCACTTAGTTTTTAGTTTCCCAGTGCATATAAGTCGCATGTGTACACTGTATTGTAGTCTCAAAGTGTGTAGTAACATTACGTCTAAAACAACAACGAACATACCTTAAGTGAAAATATGTATTGCTAAAATGCTAACTGTCACCTGAACCTGTAGGGAAGCCGTGTCCTTGGACTTAATTGACCCGGGCTGCCACAGACTTTGAGTTTGTAATGTCCACACAGCGCAGTGAGGTGGGTGTCCTGTGGGCGGTTTCACATGATCTGTTTGAGAGCATCAGAGCTGCTGCTGCAAGGTCGGTGTTGTGGAAGACGTGCAGGCTCTGGACACAGATCCAGAGTGGTTCGGGGACGTGTGAGCAGCTGCTTTCACACTTCAGGTCACTGCTGGTCACCGGCTCACCTGGCTGGAAGTGTTACCTCCTGGTTAATCCACACCTTCAGCCCACATGCTTCTCAGCTCTCAGTAGGGTGCCCAGGCCTGGCTGCATCCTCCGCAGGGACAACCTTGCCTTCTGCTGGGCACAGACCTCGGCTGCACGTCCTGTCCTTGGGGAGCTGTGGTCTTGTTCCTGTGGGTCTTTGTTCTTTCATAGCACACTTCCCTTGCCCTTGGCTAGAGAGGCAGCCCCCAGACTAGTTGGCCCCGACCCTGTGTCCTCAGGGTAAACCCAGCCCTGGACACAGGTGAAGTGTTGGTGAGTTGGTGCTGTGTGGACTTCTGGGCGCCCTGCTTTCCCCTGAGTCCCTCCTGCCCTCTGGAGGAGGCTTTGGGTTGATGGGCTTTCACACCATGCAGACGCAAAGTTGGTCTGAGGAGTGATTCACTCTTTGATGATGTACATTTTCTGCATTAGACAGCTGCTCGGCTGTGGAGCATAGGCAGGCGCCTTCCAGGCACTCACAGGGCAAGTGGCTTGTTGGGACAGCTCTTGTGGGGCAGTGGTCAGTCGTGAGGCCGCCGTGGTCCCTGCTGTGTTCACTTGTGACCGTCTTGGGGGAATGTGACCTCCTTGGTAGTGGGTACCAGCCGACCTTCCGTGACCATGGCCACCTGTGTGGAGTCGAGCAGGCAGTGGGTTCCCGTTGGTTCCTGGAGGATGGCTGGTCCCACGGCCACGGCCATGGCCTTCTTCGGGCATGTTGGTGCTTCGACAAAATTCCTTTTTGTGTGTGTCGTTTGAGTGGGTGAGGAACGGGTTCAGATATGGGACGAGGTCGTCGGCATGTCTATGCCTGGTGGCTGGGCTGTTGCCCTCTGGTCATAGCGCGTGTTTGCGGACATCCTTGCTGCCAGGCCTCCCTTCCCGTCAGGGTCTGTAGTGGCGACCAGAAGGAGGAAATGTCACCGTTGAGGTGTCTGGCCCTTGGTTTGCTGGTCGTCCACCTCCCGTTCCGCTGTGCTCTTACCAGTTCTGGGTTCCAGAGTGTGGGCTACCCTTTCTCAGTGGCGGTGAGTGCCCTGTGTGTGGGTGGACCCATAGGCTCCGGGTGGTGTGGCTGCTGCATCTCTGCGACCTTCCTAGAGCTGGTGACAGGTACACCGGGAGTGAGGGGTTGGGTGGAGGTGACAACAGCTTTCACAGCTGGACACCTGGATGTCAGCATCTTGTCCAGAGGCTTCCCAGTCATCCCAGCAACTCCATCTGAGCCAGATTGGTTTTCCTCGTTGTGAAGCTCATCCATTTGCCACCCAGCAGCTATTTCAAGTCAAGGATTAAAAACATGTTCTCAAGTATTGATGAAGTTACTAATTTTGTTTATTTCCCACCTCGTGCCCCTTGTTTGTAGGGTTGTGTGTCTTATTTAACCCAACTGTGATCTTTGTCTCCTTTTGTGTCTTTCAGCAAACGGGGATTCAGTGTGCGGTCCTTCGGCACAGGGACTCACGTGAAGCTTCCAGGGCCTGCGCCCGACAAGCCCAATGTCTATGATTTCAAAACCACATATGACCAGATGTACAATGACCTCCTTAGGAAGGACAAGGAACTGTATCCCAACTGGTTACCCTTTTACAGACCCCAGTGTGGTTGTCTATGGCAGGTGTGACCTGTGACACAGTCATCACACTGACCCCCATGTCAGGCTGGGAGGCGGGTGGACTGTGGCCGCTGCTGCGTGCTGTGCTGAGTCAGCACGTGCGATGCAGATGCCTCCTCTCGTCTCAGAATTTGGTGTGTGTTCCTGTGCTGCTTGGACAGTGCAAGGCTGGCACCATCCGGGGCTGCGGACACGGGACACGCAGGCGTACATGTGACGTCCATGGTGACAAAGTCATGATGTTACACAGATTAGATGGGAGGTGGACACCACAGAATCGTTCCCTTTCTCACTGGGGGCTGCCTGCTTCCCTTCGCAGGCAGGTGTGTGCCTGTGGGTGTGCACTGATACATGGGGTGGCAGCTGCACCCACCTCTGGGGATGTCTCCAGGGTCCCGTCTGTGAAAGGATCTCATGTGCAAGCAGAGGGAGCATCTTAGGAGTAATTTCAGAGAACTTTGCTTTGAGACAGAACAGGCTGGTCTGTTGCTTAAGACCCACCCACGGAAGAGCCTTGGCCGGTGTGGCTCAGCAGTCAGTGAGTTGGCCCTCACACCAAAGGGTGTCGGGTTCAGTTCCTAGTCAAGAGCATGTACTGAGTTGCAGGTTCGATCCCTGACCCCAGTCAGGGTGTATGTCCCTCTCTCTCTCCCCCCTCCCTTCCACTCTCAAAATGAGTGGAAAAAATATCCTTGGGTGAGGATTAGCCCCCCAAAAAGACTTGTGAAAGAAGAGGCAGTTAAAAGATTTTTAGTGACTGTGACACCGAGTTGTGTATAGTTAAGATGATCATTGGCCAGTTTTGACTGGGCACCTGATTGCCTTGTGCTGCCTGGAGACTCCTGGCCTGCCATTGCTACTGTGAGTGACCTGTGGTTCTCCAGGTGGGACCCAGACCTCTTTCAGGTGAGGGGGATTGACACCAGGTGGGAACCTTGGTCTCCATAGTATTGTGCTTGCAAGTTTTAATAAACCACAATGTTTTCTGTACATCTGTTGATTAGTTAGCTGGAGTGGCCGAAAGGTTCTGGTACTAATGAGAGCGGAGCCCCTTGCTCCATCCTCCCTGGTTACGCGTGAACGGGCATCTCTGGTCAGTGCCACAGCGGGCAGTTGGGTTCTGTGGGTGGCTGTGGAAGGCGGGGTGGCTCTGTGCAGTGCCCTGGGTGGCCGCCCCCCAGATTCCTGTGTTCCTTTCTCAGAAGCCCCAGGACATGCATTGGGCAAAGCTCCCAAGTGTTTCTGGCGAGTCACCACCTGTGACCTGTCTACATGCTGGAGCAGCTGCTCTGCTCGTGCTCTTGGGTGAGAAGGGCGGAGCTCTGGCTGGCCGAGGAGCAGCCCCTGGAAAGGGCTGGGGTCTTAACGCCAGGTTTCTTCCCTTGAATTGTAAACTCCGTGTGCTGTGTTCAGCTTATCTCGAGACACTGGCCGATTCTGAAGATCATCCTTCAGTCGGCACCATTCACGTTTGAGCCCACACCCAGCAGAAGTGAGAGCAGGGACGGTGCCTGCGTGCCCCTCGGTTATCGCAGATGGCCTACCACACCAGCACTGGCACGTGACACACAGGAGGGATGTGTCCCTGATAGTTCAGACAAGGAGCAGAATCCCACTTCTCAGAACTCAAGAGTGTCCCCACAAAGCATCCATGCCAAAGGCAACTGCATGCATGTGTCCCTTTGCACGCCTCTGCTGTGCTGGGGGTGGGGGGGGTTGACTGTGCCCACTCACCAACAGTACCTGCCTCCTGGGGACCCTATGTAGGAAAGTCCCTTCTCTCTTGATTGCCCCTCACAAAGTTCTGGGAGGGACACTTGTTGATTTATTGGCTTCACTTGGGTGAAATTTCTGTCTCCTGAAGGGTGAGGGCAGAACAGCCATGTGCTTGGTACTCGGCTTGACCCAGGGCAGCCCTTGGTGGGTAATGGAGGGACATTTCTCCAGGGGTCACTGCACTGCCAGTGCAAGGGAGGGGGAGGGGCTGGACATGGGGGAGGGGATACTTGATTAGCGATGGGACAGGCTGCTTGTTTCCTCATTTGCTCATGATTCATGTAGCTAAGAGCCAAACACCCAGGTCTGGAACAGAACACCTGATGGGCTTTTGCAGAAGTGGCAGCTATAACCTGTAGTGGAAAGCTAGGAAAATAATTTAAATGTAACCTGAAGATAAACAATGTTCAGCGAATGCATTTTCTGTAGAGAATGACAGGGTTCTGGGGGTGGCCTGCAGGCTCTTCCTGCTGCCATCTGCTCACCGCCAGGGCCTCAGGTCCTGTGTGTGCCGCCTCTCGGTCTTCCTGAGAACTGACCTTTGGTAAGGTTTGGCCAGCAGTCCTGTTAGGATCAAAGGACTTAATAGCTAACGGCACAAAGCTGGGTTTGGTTTGGGTTTCCCTCCACCAGCAGGAGCAGGACCTAAGGGGCTGAGGGACCCCTGCCTCGGGCTTGTGGTGACATTCGTGTGGCTGAGCACTGGCCTTCAGTCCTCGAAGAGCCTGCCTCCGGGAACTCGAGAGCACTGGGGCTGGGGGCACGGGGGGCTTTGTTAAACCAGAGCTGCACCAGTGGTTCTCCCCGTTCTGTGAAGCCAGGCCAGTGAGTCTCTGCCATGTTCCTCGGGTGTCTGCTAGTAGTCCCGGAGATCCGAGTTCACCTGTCCCTCCACATACCAGAGGTCTCTTCCGGTTTCATAAAGGAGGTTCTGTGCTGCTACACAGTCTCCACTCAACGCACACCCCTTGGTGGTTCCGTCACACGGCTGTTAACTGCTGTCACGGCAGCTTCAGAACATTGTCGTCTCGTAAACACCCGTAGTGGTCACTGTCCATGACCCAACTCTCCCAGCCTGTGGCCACTGTCCCCCTTCTGGCTGGATTCACCTCTTCTGGGCGGCTGCCGTAGGTGGAGTCATACGGCCTATGGTCTGACCGCTGCTTTCGAGGTTTGTTCATTTTGTAAAGCACATCAAACTGTTTTGCTTTATTTTTTTAAACCTTACCAAGGATATTTTTTCAAGTGTCTTCAGATAGAGGGGGCGGGGGTAGAGAGAAACATCGAAGTGAGAGAGACACATCGACTGGTTGTCTCCCACACGACCCCAACCAGGGCCAGGGATCAAACTGTAACTGAGGTATGTGCCCTTGACCAGAATCGAACCACAACTCTTTGGTCTGTGGGCCGATGCTCTAACCACTGAGCAGAACTGGCCAGAGCTAGAAGTGGTCCCCTTCCCCCCGCCCGAACTGTTTTTGTTGGTGGGTTTTTTTGAGAAACAGAGGCCTAGTTTATTTGTTCCATTTCTTGGCATTTGAAGGGTTCCTCCATGACATCCGTGGCCTCGAACTGCCCATTTAAGCTTTTTTTTTTCCTTTATTGATTTTTAGAGAGGAAGGGAGAGAGAGATAGAAACACTGATAAGAGAGAACATCAATTGGCCCCCTCCTGCACACCCCCCACTGGGGATTTGGCCCACAACCTGGGCATGTGCCTGACCGGGATTCGAACCAGTGACCTTTTAGTGCAAGGGTTGATGCTCAACTACTGAGCCATACTGGCCAGGCTCAAACTGTCCATTTTTAAGTCCACCTTTTTTCTCTTGACTTAATTTCTTCTTCCCTTTGCTATGAAGCCATTGTTACTATAAAGCAGCTTAAACTTCGCCGCTGTCCTGGCATAGTGTAACTCCCGGGGCCAGGCTCCCCAGGGCTTCCAGCTTCCACTGAGGAACCTGGCTGGACCTTGAACTTACTCGGAGAACCTTTGGTGAAAACATTGGCAGTTTCTTCTAATGCGAGAATGACCAGCCTGCAGCTGCATGGAATCCATGGGTCATGGGAGGATGGGCTGGCCTGTCAGCAGACTCAGAGCCTTTTGAAACCTTTCAGTAGATAACTGCTTTGTAAATTACAAAACCATTTGCCTTAAAAAGCAAGTAAAAGCCCACCTCTAAATAGTATGATTTTATTTTATTTTTTGGTTAATCCTCACCCGAGAATATTTTTCCATTAATTTTTTTTTTTTTTTTTAATCCTCATCTGAGGACATTTTTCCTTTTTTTCTTTTTGTTCAGAAAGCATGGAAGAGAGAGAAACATCAATGTGAAAGGGACACATCAAGTGGCTGCCTCCCACACGACCCAACCAGGGCCGGGCACAAACTGCAACCAAGGTACGTGCCCTTAGTGGGAACCAAACCCAGGTCTTTCTGGACCTCAGGCCGACGCTCTAACCGCTGAGCCAAACCGGCCAGGGCGATTTTTTTTTTTTTTTAATAGAGTGGGAGGGAGGGGAGAGAAAGAAACATGGATGCAAAAGAGAGACACGTCAGTTAGTAGCCTCTCACATGACCCTGATGGGTTAGGGATGGGACCTCCAACCCAGGTGTGTGCCCTTGACCAGGAATCGAACCTGAGGCCCTTCTGTCTGCAGGTTGATGGTCTTTTTTTTTTTTTTTTATCTTCACCTGAGGACATTTTTCCATTTTTTGTTCAGGTAGAGTGGGAGGGAGAGAGAGGAACAGAGAGAGAGAGAGAGAAACATTGATGTGAAAGGGACACATCGAGTGGCTACCACCCGCACAACCGACCAGGGCTGGGGACAAACTGCAACCGAGGTACATGCCCTTAGCGGGAACAGAACCCGGGTCTCTCAGGACCGCAGGCCGACGCTCTAACCGCTGAACCAAACCGGCCAGGGCTGCAGGTTGATGGTCTTAACTGCTGAGCCAAACTAGCAGGTTTTAGTACATGGATTTGAAATGCAAATATGAGACTGAGCACAGGAGCCTGTGTCCAGCACACCTTTCTCTTGTGGCTCTTTCATCACTTTTGGAGTTAGAATTAAAATTTTTAACTGTTTATTCTTTTCCATTTCAGTTTCATTGTCTTGTAGGCCTTGGCTTAATTTACATGTATGCCTGCTTTTGCACTGTGTACTTCTTTCTTGTC